GGGATCCGACTTCAACAGGAGAGCAGCGGTTCGGCCCTAGTAGAAGCCCGCCAACAGGGGGATTACAAAGACAAGGTCTCGGCATCGAGGGGTTCGAAGCTTCACCCCCTATTATCCAACAGGAGCTGCAGCTAAGCGCTGCCCCCTACTCGCGCGCACAGACCTCTGCAGAGAAGGATATAATGCGCCTCTCCCCCGCCTTGTCTTTTCTCTCATCCACCACACCCCTTCTCTTTTACGACCTTTTACGATCAGCACCCACCTTCGTCGTTCACTTTTGATTCCAGTTTCACCTTTACGATGCGCGCGTCCACCTCGTTTGCCACGCTCGTCGCCCTCATGGCGGTCGCCGGCTCTGCCGCGCCCATTGGTGCAGACTCGTCCAACCGTGCTCGCTCGCTCGTTTCGGTAAGTGCGCATACATTGTGCTCGGCGACGCTGACCATTTTGCAGATCCCCAGCAAGGATTCGAGCTCCATCGTCGCCATCCCTCTTTGCGAGAACTGCCACGACGATTCGACCAAGAACAACCTCAAGCCTACGGACGACACTGTCAAGTGGGTGATTTTCTCTGGTACACTTTCAGTCGCTTACCGAGTATCTCAACAGGGCTGTCTTGGAGGTCGGCAAGGGCTCGCACGACGGCGTCCAGCTCGCCGATGTCGATGCCAAGGTCAACCTCGGCGGCGGCAAGGAACAACACGAGCAGCCTCAGAACAACTGCAAGCCTCCTCAGCAAAACGACCAGAAGCCGAATCCGGACAACTCGGACATCAACGTCGACGTCAAGGCTGATGTGAAAGACGAGGTCAAGGCCGATGTCCACGCTAACGTTGCTGACGCCGTGAAGGCCAACGTATCTGTTGATGCGCTCAAGTGAGTTTCTAGATATGAAATGTCTAACAGTTGCTCAAGTCTTTTCAGAGACGACAAGTCTGGGCCACCAGCCAAGGATACGAACAAGTAAGTTGTCCTCGCGTCGAGTCAACCTCGCTAATTTCTGTCGACAGGGACGTCCATGGCGTCAAGGACGGAGTTCAGGATGGCGTCAGGGACGGAGCCAAGGACGTGCACGACATTTCCGCCGAGGTCAAGGCCGATCTTGGTAAGGTTGTGGGCAACGGGTAAGTCGTGTAGTCCTAGCGGTAAATAGATGCTGACCAGGTTGTCCAGCAACTCGCATCCCATCGTGAGTCTCGGCCGCAGGTCCAATCCTCAGGATCTCGACTATGACGATCTTACCAAGGTCGGAGGAAAGCCGGTAGTGTCCACGTCGCTTGTCAGCCGCTTCTCATCTCTCGTCCTTCCTCGCGGATGGGTTGCTTGATGGCTTTGGTTCGCTTGATGGCTCTGGATTTTTTGATGTCTCCGGGTTTCTTGTACTGCGCATTCGTATCATGTTTTTATGAACATTAACCGTCATTTGATTCATTAAACCGTTCTGGTAGAAGTGCAAACTTGTTATATTGATCGTGAGTAGTACAAGGGTCAAAAACTCTTAGAAGCCGGGCACACCACTTGGTTTAGGACGCAGTCGCGTTGTTGCATTCTCAACCGGCCCATTACCGCTCCTCGACATTGTTAAGGAGTCGTAGAATGCTGATGAACAAGTTGATAAAGTCGAGATACAATGAGACCGCGCCCATGATAAACTCATCCGGGCTGAGCTTCTTGGTGATGATGTAGGTCTAAAAAAATGTTAGGCGCGTTGATTGACGTGCGAATAATTAACTTACATCGAACACAATATATCCGCTAAAAATGAGACACCCTCCACATGCGTAGATGAGGTCCATAGTCTTGCCAAAGGGAATAAAGATCCCAACAATTCCGGTCATCACTAGAGCAAGATTAGAAACAATCTACCAAAGGCAAAGACCACGTACTGAGGACCAGCAGACCGCCAAATAGGAAGGGGCCCATTCCCGAAAAGTCATACTTGCTCTGCAGTGTAAAGAGCGTCAAGCCGAGGAATACGCCGACAGTGATTAGCCTAGAAACGGTCAGTCAGTCACATGTAACCATGATGACGCCGACTTACAAAGCCTGAAGAACAATGACGTTGTCATAGTACGACACAATGAGGCCGACACTCCAGGACTCGAGAAGAGTAAAGCTCGTGAGGAGCAGGTAGTTGGTCGGGTGCGAGTGGCGCTTCCAGTACAAGAGTCCGAGATTAATGAGCGAACCAAAGAGGGGAATAAAAATGGCCCATTGGCTGCGCAAGTGTTAGTAGTGTGTAAATTGACTTATCGATATGACTTACTGAGTCTGCACCCACGCCACAGAGCGCTCGCTCGACGCAAACCAGCCAACAATGCAGGTACCGAGCTAAATGGATTATGAGATCGCTAACGTGGTTTGAAGAATAAGACGTACAAGTTGGGCGAACAAAATTGAATAAACCTATAGGCTGTGTAAGCGACGATTACGTTCCGGACGGAACCACTTGCCTTGCGCACAAACGCCTGTTGGATTTCAGGCGCAGAGTCGGAGACCGTCACGCCATACCTACGCAAATGAGCAAAGTGAATAACTATGAAAGTGGCTTGTGCTCACTTGAAATCATCGGGAAGATCACTGTCGTCACCAAAGGCATGTACGCCACCTGATGACTGGCCACGAGTCTCACCAAGGAGAGGATCCGACGAGTTGGAGGCACCATACTGTGTGTATTTTTGAGGGCTCTGAGGGGCAGGCTGGTAGCCTGGAGGTGCTTGTGGATAGTTGGACATGGTCGTAGTCGATGTGGGAGGAAGGAGAGTGATGGATCGTTGTGGAAGGAAGCGCCGAAGGCTGCGCGGCAAACAGGTCACATCAGCGCCAAATGCACAGGGAATCAAACGCAAGTTTGACGCAAGTGGTTCGAGTCCACAAGGTCACAAGTGGAGCAAGAGAACGGCTATGATAGATTCAAGCTACGATACAGTATAAGTAGGAATTGGTCGATTTTGCTATTGAGCGGCGATCGATTACCAGGGTGAGCCTCGGCTCACTTAGGTACACATCGCATATATTTTATTTATAGTCAGGACGCTTACAGAGTGGCTCTACTTGGGCTCGACCGGTCCAGCTCACAGTCTCACTTTCACTCAATGTTCACCCAGAACTCGCTGCTGAACCTCGACTAACGCATATAACATGATCAATGCTGGCAACATCTACCACAGCCCAATAGACATAGCCACGCTAGTTAAGCTATGGTGTACCGAGTCAATATACGGCTCAGGCGCTGGTCAGAATAGAGTCGAGCTGCTCCGAACACTCATACAATAACGCGGTGGACAGAGGTGCTGGAAGCTAGAGATGCACCAAGTTGATATCTCTAACTTTTGAAACACGAAAGCTTGTGTAAGGTTGCAGCTCCTTTGGACAGAGTTGATTAGGATAAATTAGTGTGTGGGACTTGTATCTAAACTGGTTGTCCGATCTAAACCAATAAGATAAGGCATCGAGACAAATTACAAGCCGTCCATACGGTCACAATCACCTTCGCTTCGGCAGCAACAAGGCCTGTGCTCTCCCCACTTTTCATTCGAAACTGTTGCAAACAGGTTATATAGAGTGCTGAATGGCAGTCTATGAGGCAACCGAGGTGGCTGAGGTGGCTGCAGATTACATAAGCGCTGTGGCGATGGGTGGCGTGCGGTAACGAACGGGAACAACCGGCTGAAACACCCTCCACAGAGGAGATAAAATTCTGGCATAAATATAAGCAGATTTCCCGTGTAAAAATAGCATAGTAATGTCCAGCTTTAAAATTAAAACAAGTCGGTTTACTTCCAGAATAACAATTAACCTCTGTTCTCCCGTTCTCAGCCTCCCGGAAGTGTTTCTGGACGTACAGTAGCTCTAAAAAATTGCAAAAAATGATTCCCGCTAGCCGACTTGAACGACTGACCTCGTCATGCCGTAATTCCTACGAAGTCATTGCGTAATGCAGTGAAGAAATACTAGTGACGCGCTCTACCACTGAGCTAAGCGGGAGTTACTACTTTGCTCTCGCGTCAGTTGATATCATGCAACAGTTTTAGCCCCGCAGCACCGGAGAAATACCTAGGCTTGTCCGGCACCTCATTCGAAAAATTATCTCTCAATCGCATAAAGCCCTCACGACTGGGCCTTTGCCGAGGTTGCAGCAAACACTATTTAATCACGTGGTTTATAATTCACAGTCACTCCAAATGCTTCGACCTACCATAAACTTTAGACGAAATTAGAACACGGATTAGCAGTTTTGTTTCGTAAATACCATGCTTTTCTACAGTATCCCTAGCTAGTATAGGTTCGGCCTACAGAGGTTAAACTTTGCTGAACTCGCACGTTGGCAAATGCTACCGAGACTTCAGTTGCTGTTCTTAATAGAGCATGCTCAAAATATTGAGCCAGAGGTTTTCTCAGATGTTTGTCATGGTATTTTGACGTCTTCGCTCAAACAGGAGTGCGGCTTGTTCACTCAAACACTTGGATTACGTTTTTGATATCTCTGTCTACGTCGTACGGGTAGTGTCTGCTGATTGCAATACTTTATTGTAATGGCAGTTAGGGCAATTATTAGCTTATGTCTCATTCAGAACTAATCTTGCACCTCCTTAAAACTCTCTATTGACTTCGTAATAGCGCATATACTTAGGGATATACTGATGCAAATACTTGGTACTGAGACGTTGGAGTCTGTTAGGGGCGCTATTCAGCATATATGCGTCTGTAGCACGAACTTATCAGAGTGTATGTTAGCGTGAAAACATACTCACCGGATACGCCAGGAGCCTGGAGGCCTCATCGTGCATTAACTCGCACAACCGCGTTTGTCATTACATACTACTTTTAAAGAGTGCGTAG